CAAGTTCAATTCTCTGAAGAGGAAAGCCAATTAAACTAAATACTACCATAAGGGGAAAATTTAGTCATAGCGTATGAGTTGCTAACTATGAGTCTGGGATAATGAAAGAAAGTAACCGAAACCGCCGATAACCTGGCTATTAAATAGGTAATAGAATGATTCGATAGATGACATTATGAACTTCATCGTGGTTATCAGCGCTAATGGTATCAGACAAGCAGTTGCGTTACCATTCAATTTTCAAGAAAATGCAATTTCAATAATTCACTTGATTTGTATTATTTTGAGATTCAGTTACAAATTAATCTATGGAAAAATGAAAAGGATTTTAAGATCTTACTTATCAAAAATATCACACGGTAGAGTAAGTTCTCGTAGGTTTGATAAACAGTCGAACGCTGTTGCAGGAATTGTACGAATATGGTCTATACTACTGATTACAAGCTTCTGAATAAACGGAGAACTTCGAAGTGCGCTTGCCAGTTTATTAACATCCTAAATAAGACTATTTCTTCTACCAGATTTTTGTAATATTAGGCATCATTGTTCAAAATGCGATTATTATAGGATTAATTATAGGATTATTTTACGGCGCATAAAGTAGGCATTGCGATAACAATGCCTACTTTATGCGCCGTAAAATTCGCCATATATACTTGTAGAACGCGAAAGACAATTGAGATCGATACAAATATCAGATTAAATGAATAGCAACAAATTTTTGTGAAACTTACCGTATTTCTCGTGTTATTATGTACTTCAAATATATGGCGATCAGAAGCGATAACAATGCCTACTTTATGCGCCGTAATGCGATTGGTATCACTCCACTATAAAACTTCTAGCGATAAAATACCCGACGGAACGAAGTAGTCCTTGATAAGTTAGCGGCTATGTTTTCAGGTCAGTCAATTTTTAACAGTGGATAGCAACAAACCGGGTGTAAAAGACTATAAAAATGTTTATTAATAGCAGAGAATCGAGCTCTTTCCCTGGGCGCAAGTTGTTCAAATACTTCCGTAATCGTTTCATCTGACAATAATTCATGAAACTCTCCGACGAGCAATTTTTTATCATTACCGTTCAGCTTCAT